AATTTCCCCTTTTTTTTGTTTCCCCCCTTTTACCCCCCCCCCCCCCCCAATTCCATCATGTGACAGCATGTTGATGTCTATGTGTACTGTCAACAAGATTGTCTGGCAGATTATCTACCAATTGAGTTAACAGGGTAACTGATAGCAGTACATAGAACCAAGATTCTTCATATCTGGATTGTTTGTGACCTGCTTAATTCACAGCAAGATGCCAAATTAAGGACAAGCTACTCAGCTGTTTGCCCATCTTCAGAGAGGGCTGAGGAACCAAACCTGGTGAAGAACCTGAATTCTGCTGTAGTATTTTGTTTTTTTTTTAAATCTTCTATATGAGCCAGCATTGGATGGCATACTTTGTCACTTCCATATTGTTTAGTGTCTGCCCTGGTCTCTTGGGAATAATATCTAGCTGTGCAACTCTTCTTTTTTTATATAGATATGGCTACAACTGCGTGATATATGGCTGGGATCCCACCTGCATGATGGGACATGAATGGATTAGAAATATGAATGTTCATAGCCTGCCTCATGGTCCCCATCAGCCTTTCTACAATGTGCTGGTGGAGGATGGATCCTGCAGATATGCTGCTCAGGGTGAGAAACGAAGTCAGCTTGAGAAACTGATGTGTACTTTTATTTGCTTAGCATACGTGGGAACGATCTTGCTGTTCTTAATGCTTGAAGAAAATTAATATTGCAGTATTATTTGTTTTTCATAGTTTTATAGTTGGTAGGGTTGGAAGGGACCTGGGCAGATCATCAAGTCCGACACCCTGCCATGGGCAGGAAAGAATGCTGGGATCCAACAACCCTGGCTAGGTGACTATCTAGCCTCCTTTTGAAGATCCCTAGGTTAGGGGCGAGGACCTCTTCCCTTGGAACTTGGTTCCAGATCCTAGCTGCCCTGACAGTGGAGTAGTGCCTCCTGATATCTAGCCTGAATCTACTCTCAGTCAACTTATGGTCGTTATTCCTCGTTACTCCTGGTAGTGCTTGGGGGAACAGGGACTCTCCCATAGCCTGCTGGTCTCCCTTAGCCAGTTTGTAGACAGCCACCAGATCCCCTCTCACCCTTCTCTTGCGGAGGCTGAACAGGTTCAGGTCTCGTAGCCTCTGCTCATAGGGCTTGTCTTGCTGCCCCTGATCATGCGAGTGGCCCTCCTCTGGACCCTCCCGATGCTGTCAACATCCCTCCTGAAGTGCGGCGCCCAGAACTGGACACAGTACTCCAACTGTGGCCTGACCAGTGTCGCATAGAGGGGGAGGATCACCTCCTTAGACCTGTTCAAGATGCATCTGTGGCTGCATGACAAGGTGCAGTTAGCCTTCCTGACCACGTCCCCACATTGGCGGCCTGTGTTCATTCTGGAATCAATAATGACACCAAGATCCTTTTCTGCCTCTGCACTGACGAGAAGGGAGTTCCCCAGTCTGTAGGTATGGTGCTGGTTCTTCCTCCCCAGGTGCAGCACCTTGCACTTGTCAGTATTGAATCCCATCCTGTTCTCATCCACCCACCCCTATAACCTGTCTAGATCTAGTTGCAGCCTGTCCCTTTCCATCAGCATGCCCTCTTCTCCCCACATCTTAGAGTCATCTTCAAATTTGAACAAGGTGCTTTTCACCCCCTCGTCCAAGTCACTGATGAAGATGTTGAACAGTGTGGGCCCGAGGACCGAGCCCTGGGGGACCCCACTGCCCACATCCTTCCAGGTCGAAAAAGACCTGTCCACCACCACCTCTCTGGGTGCGGCCTTCCAGCCAATTAGCGACCCATCTGACTGTAGGCATCAACATCACAGTTGCCTAATTTTTTTAATGAGAATGGGGTGTGAGGCAGTGTCAAAGGCCTTCCTTCCTAAAGTCCAGAAAGATTATGTCTACCACGATACCTGCATCCAAGGATTTTGTGACCTGGTCATAGGAGGCCACCAGGTTGGTCTGACATGACCTGCCTCTAATGAACCCATGTTGGTTGCCCCTGAGCATGATCTCCCCTGCTGGTCCCTTGCAGATGTGCTCCTGGATAATTTTCTCCAAGAGCTTCCCCGGGACCGAGGTAAGACTAACGGGCCTGTAGTTTCCTGGGTCCTCCTTCCTCCTTTTTTTGAAAATGGGGACTACATTGGCCCTTTTCCAGTCATTTGGCACTTCGCCAGAGCACCATGAATGCTTGTAAAGCTGTGCCAGGGGTCCCACAATGACCTCTGCTAATTCCCTCAGCACTCTGTGGTGGAGATCATCAGGACCTTCTGATTTGAACATGTCTAGTCCCACCAGAAGTTGCCTGACTAGGTCCTCGTTGACCCTGGGCCTGGCTGCGCCTCCCTTGAGTCCCTCGGGGGTCCCAGTGGGGGGGATGCCCTGGTCCCTGCTCAGAAAGATAGAGGCAAAGAAATTGTTAAAGAGATTAGCTTTGTCATCTTGTGTGACCACCAGATTTCCTAGCGTATCCTGCAGAGGCCCTATGTTACTCAGTACCTTCTTTTTACCCCCTATGTATTTAAAAAAGGACTTCTTGTTATCCTTGATTCGGGTCGCTAGTCCCAGTTCCATCTCTGCCTTAGCCTTCCTAACAGCCCCCCTATAGTC